TTCTTCTTTCCAATAAATAGAATGAGATTTCCCGTCAATTGCACATAATAACCCACCATCAGATAATGAACGGACACCAACAACTCCTCTTGTACCATTTAAGAATAAAGTATAAGAATCATTAGAAGATTTGGTAGCAGTGAATTTATATCTATATCCTTCATAAATGAATTCGATTGGATAAATAGTCCTTAACAAAGATTTATTTGGAACTTGACCTTTCTCCAATGATTGAATATATTCTTTTCTATCTTCTTCGGATTGAATATGGGCTTTGGTAGCGGCACCACACACAACTGCAACAATATGATCAGGCCTTTCGGACGTTAATTTCTTTGAAATTAATTCGTCTAACCATCCAGTAGTGATTGTATTGTCCTCAAAATCTGGCGTTTCTAATAATTTAATTAAGTATTCCACTGTAGTTCTAAAATCACCTCTAATAGATAATTCTTTCAAAGCAACAACCATATGCTTTCTTGAAGCAGAACGGTTCTCACCAAAAGCAAAAATATGACCGAATTGCGAATCTGAGAAAGAATGAATAGAAGACTGATTACCGACAGAGAAATAACCCCAGACATTAGAAGATGACCTAAAATTCAATTCATGTAACGAACCCCCAGAAGGCTTAAATCCTTCACCTGGATCTTCTGAAGTAATACGACATGCGGTAGTGTGACCCTTTGGAACGGGACGACGCTGACTAACTAATGAACTTTCGGTCTTGAATTCAAAATCAATTTCGGTAGAAGTGTGAGGGTCAACACCGTATAAAGTTCTAATATCCCTAATACGGTGCATTGGAATACCCATAGCAATTTGTAATTGGGCGGCTGGTAAATTAACTCCAGTCACCATTTCAGTAGTTGGATGTTCAACTTGTAATCTTGGATTCAATTCTAAGAAATAGAATTTATCTTCACTATGCGAATAAAGGTATTCAACTGTACCTGCAGAAACATAACCAACCAATTTACCTAACCTTACGGCGGCGTTCTCCATAGCGTGGAAACTTTCTTTATTGGCAATGGTGACTGGAGCCTCTTCAATGATCTTTTGATGTCTTCTTTGCACTGAACAATCTCTTCCAAAAAGAGAAATATTAGTACCGTATTGATCGGCTAACAATTGAACTTCCAAATGTCTAGCATCACCGGCTAACTTCATAATGAAGATAGGAGATCCTGGAATTTCGTTCGAAGCTTGCTTATATAAGGCAATAAAGTCTTTTTCATTATCGACTTTTCTAATACCTTTACCACCACCACCTTCAGAGGCTTTGATCATGACAGGGAAACCAATTTCTTTGGCCTTAACAAGACCATCTTCTGGACTTGTGCAACAACCCTTGGCGTAAACCTCGTCGGAAACCGAAACCAAGTTAGTTTCTTCGTCGATCTTAACTTCTCTAACACCAGTACCAGACCATGGAATACATGGAACATCTGCGTGTTGAGCCACAATAGTGGAAGAAATCTTATCACCTAAAGATCTCATAGCAGATCCCGGAGGCCCTATAAACAAGATTCTCTTAGGAGAGGCAGCTAACATTTCTGGTAATAATGGGTTTTCTGAGGCATGACCCCATCCGGCCCAGACGGCGTCGACATTAGTTCTTTCGGCGATTTCCACGATCAATTCAACGTTGGCATAATTATTATTGTTAGTTCCACCTGGAACCTCGATAAATTGGTCCGCCATACGAATGTACTCCGCATTAGCTTCCAAATCTTCTGGGGTGGCCATCACGGTGAATTGAATGGCCCTTTCGTTACCGAATGTCTCGTAGGCCCATTTTCTAACCGATCTGATCTCCTTAACGGCAGCAATACCATTATTTGCAATTAAAACTCTGGTAATTACCGTGTGACCTTCGTGCGATCTTACAAAGTCCGTCACCTTACCTGGCTCGGCATTCTCTGCCGAGTTCAACCCTCTAAAGTGGTCGGCTAATTTCTGATGCATCTGAGTGTAATTTCTCACCTCTGTTGTTACGTCAGACATCCTATATTTATTATCAATGGTATTCTTTAGTTTGTTATCGTTGGTGTCGTTATTAGTAGTGTTGACACTGTTGTAGTTGATATATCTATTAAGTCGTTTAACTGGAATATACTTTAATATTCTATATTGATGACGTAAATTAAGATTTGGAAATAGTAACCTATTGAGTGAAATGTTAGTTGTAAGTTTTTTCAATTTGGCACAAACAGCGTTCATACAATATCCCGATCAATTCCAAAGTATATGGGCATATGTATACTCGAATGAAATTTCTTCTTCGTCGTCACAACGTCCAAAAACTAAGTCCTATTTTTCTTTCATAAATCCATTTTTTGGGTGTTCGCGGCAGCGCGATGAACAGAAAATCGGATCAATTGATTCTGGCGTCTAACTGTTGGCTGTCCTTGTGCTCTAGTTCTTTTAAATAAACAACATACCTTGTAGCTAATATATTTGAAGGTTAATAAATACAATTGAAAATTTTGAATCAAATTTCAATTGATCAGAATATAAGTTATCGAATTCTATTCTGCTTGGGACTGTAAATCAAAACCAAAGTATTGGATTTAACAGCGAATTTATATTACGGATTGCAGTAGTTCTATTAGTTTAGAACTACGATGTTTTAAGTATATATTATAATATAATTACAATGTCCAAAAAGAATCAAAAATTTTGGATACCGATTCCATTATATAAATATTTTTCCACCATAGATATCATGTAGTTTGAACCAACAAATACACATACAACGACAATTCGCAGCCTAGTGAGTCCTGGTGGCAACACGACGCCGCTAGAGTGATGGTCTTAGTACTACAGGTGTACCGATGTATGCGCAATACAATCCCAACATTTTAGCCATCGCCCAGTAAACTAAGGCCCTGTGTTGGCCCAAAATATGCGCACTAATTGACGTAGTCGATCGAGTCGTATAATAGATGAAGTAATAGACGTTATTGGACAAGACCTACATAGAGACGTCGGAAAGGCACCAAATACCGGCGTGTACTAGCATGGAAGCTAGAGGCTTGGGTTTTGAGACTCGAGTATCAGGATTGACGGTTTGGTTGTATTTGCGTTGTTATCTTCTTCCATAAATTCATGTACGTTGTTTAGTTCGAGTTAGACCTGTAGACTTATCGGTCAACAATATAATGATTCGTCCAGACGAAGTGTAGAAAGATATAAGATATGGCAAGTTACTTACCTAGATAGCGCAATAGTTGAGATTAGGTGGTATTCTATTCAAATTCTTTGCAAAGCGGACCGTTGGATTGTAAATGGGCTGCGAAGTTCGCACCCAATATTCCACACCGGTTGTGAGTATTGCCCGCGTGTGTTAATTATAATCAGGTATCAGGGGTGTTGGCATTACTGGTTTGGGTTAGAAGTGGTACTAGATTAATTGAAAAATGCTGCCACAACCAGTTAGTCTTTCTGGTGGGCTTTATGCTTGGCCATAGGAGTTAGAGACACTCAGACAACCAGATGGAAAATAGCTATTTGTAAGTTTTCTTTCTTCTTGTCAAGGTAAATATGTTGGATTGTGTTATGGTATGATATTAATCTAAGCAATCTTTGGATCATTTCTGGATGTCAACATAACCAACTACATGTTTTATTCGTTTTGTGCATTATATTAGAAAACTTGTATGATAGAACAAAATATGTCGAAGGCTTAAGACCACGACGAAGCCAAACCAATATGCGCCAATCAAAATATATACATCTACGCTATGCCACCATCTCTATGCAACCCATCCCTGTTCTTATGTTTCAAGTATCAGGTATTACGTCTATACGGTTGCAAAATAGACCACAACAGTAGACCGGCTCGCAAAACATGACGGTTCGATCCCCCAGAGAAGCGATAGGAGCAGAAAAAAAAAGAATTTAAAAATCTATCCGGGTAACAAAGTGACAAAAAAGATGAAAATTATTACCGGCGAAGATTGAAAAATTACAATAGTGTGGCCAAATCTATTCATAGATAAAATATAGTATAGAAACATAGCAATATATATAAGATGTCTTGGTTATTTGGAGGTAAAACCGAAGAACAGAAGAAAGAATCCGAGTTAAAGAATTCCTTGGGATTTGATCCATCACAAGTGTCCGATGTATCATCCATTTTACAGGCACCAGGTGTTTTAGATTCAACTAGGTTGCATCCTTTAGCAGGATTGGAAAAGGGAGTCGAGTACTTAGACTTAGAAGAAGAACAATTAAATGATATCGAGGGTGCCAAGGGATTAATTCCTTCCAGAAGTTGGACTGACGACTTATGTTACGGTACCGGTGCGGTGTATTTATTGGGTTTAGGTATTGGTGGTACTTACGGTTTCCAAGAAGGTATCAATAATTTACCAAAGAATGCTTCGTCAAAGTTAAAATTAAACACAGTTTTGAATCACATCACTAAGAGAGGTCCATTTTTAGGTAACTCTGCCGGTGTTTTGGCTTTAACTTACAACTTGATTGATTCATCATTAGATGCAGTTAGAGGTAAACATGATGACATCAATTCTATAGTTGCTGGTGGTTTAGCTGGTGCTCTTTTCAGAAGTAGCGCGGGAATTAGACCAATGGGTTATTCGACTGCCTTAATGGCTGGAGCTGCAGGTGCTTGGTGTGGTATTAAGCGTCTTTTAGCATAAAAATGTTAATAGGAGACTATTAAGCGCAAAACTTGCATTGCATTTTAATGAGGATATCTTCAAAGCGCAGAAGCGGGAGAATGTCAATAACAAAAATCTGGAAAAGTAAATTCTTTAAGAGTGAGAACAGTTAGAATAGTATGATTTAAAGAAGAGCTCAAATTTGTATTTTAATTCCTGGAGGGGGTTGGTATTTTACTGCTATATCACTGTTTATATTTTTTTTGTAATTTATTTGCTTGAACCCACAAGCTGTATATAGATAAAAAGGGTGTTAATGAAATGATACTATATCGTATACCATTTTATATTGATAGTAGTCTATAAATTCTATTATACAGCGACAGCTACTGTTTTCTGTTTCTTACCGATTTTGTCGTTATCATTAATTTTATCCTCATGCTCTAGTCTGCGTTTATTTTGCATTTCATATTGGTAACCCTCGAAATCTGAAGGGTTGATCAATACATCTTTCTGCAAATACTTCATCATAATCCTATTTCCCTCGTCGCCTATGGTTTCGGCGATTTCAAGTAATTCTTTATGAGTCTTGACCTGACAGAACTTTTGATAGAACTTGGATTTTCCTGGAACTTGATTGAGCATTATATATTTTGTGTTCCCGGGATAATTATCCATATCTTGTGCTATTTTGATGAATTCGGGTACTACTTGGTTCCAAGGCAACGGAGTTTCTGCAAAAACAGTTGGATTAGATTCCGCACTTTCTGCAATCATTCCCCCAACTTTATCACCGTACTTCTGCTGTAATAAGTGGAACTCACGACGATTGCGGATAGATCCGTTGATAATAAAACTCACATTATTGGCGTGAACAGTATCGATAATTGAAGGTAAAAAGTCCCTCACTGGAGTGTCCCTATTTCTCATTCTTGGGGTACGACAGTGTAACGTCAAGTTCGAAATTCCCGTCTTGCACAATCTATCAATAAGTGCCAATGAAGGAGTCACATCTGCATCATCTAGAAGCCTGATCTTAGCACTGATTGGAATATCGTACACTTTTCCCACTTCTGACACTAAATTTCGTAAGATCAGTTCAAGCAAATCGGGGTTTGTTAACAACGCAGCCCCCATTCCCGAATGCGTGGAAAACGGCTTGGGACACCCACAGTTCAAGTCTATCCCATCCACATCCTGTGCCACTATCTTAGCAGCCTGTGCTGCCAACTCGGCGTCGGCAGATCCAATCTGGAAAATGAGCTTTCCCCGTTCCTTTGAGGGAAATGTTCGAAAAACAAGCTTCTTATTTGGGTCCAAAAAGTCAACCGTCCCTAAATCATCGTTTATCACCCGCTCACACTTGATGAGCTTCTTATCAACAATCTCGGGGGTCCACACAAGATCTGCTCCATATCGCAAGGCCATGAGTCTGGTGGGGATCTCTCCGCTTCTCACCATCGGTGCAAGAGCTAGTTTCCCGCCGTATTCAACCATCGTTTTCTTAAAAGGTAGTGTATTAGATATTGCTGTCTTGACAAGCCTAAATACCATTCCCTGTAACGGTACCTCAAAAGCACTTCTGCTGACTATTCGAATGTTCCAGGGTAATGATGAGGCAGAAAATTCGCTAAAAGTCACGTGTAAGAAATCAAAACATCCGTACACTTAAACCCAAAACAGAATATTATCGAAGTCGAACCCAAGAACACGTTAGTATCTCTCGGTAATCCGTTGGTCTCCACAACCACCGTTCTTTGACCTCGGGCTGCCCAACCGTCTGCAGGCTCGCCTGTCCACGGACTTATCGAACAGCACCAACGGTTCTACCACCGCGCCAGTTGTGCCCGGCACTAATGCAACCGACGGGCTACGCTACATTGCATTCCCAAGATTACTCGCATGACCGAGTAATTTCCAGTACTTGGCAGTTACGCTGCGATGTCATATTGAGTATTTCGATGACACTAATTATGCTTTTGCAGTGTAATTATTGCGATTGGGTAATATTACGATCCCCAATGACCGATATTCTATGCATATTAACTACTAAGCGTCATATCTAATTGGTTAATACCATATCGTATATGCCTTACAACTCAACATTGGTCAATTGACTGCGACCATGTGATGACATTTGAATAAAGTGAAACAGTCACCAAAAGACCAAAGTGCAATTGACAAGCGTAAAATAGAAATTGCGTATTGCAATCAGACAATTAGCCAGTATACGGTTGATGCTCGTAAGTAGAAAAAACAGCCAATAGAATACGTAGAATAAAACAGAAATGGTCAGAGAAGCACGATTTTGAAAAAATGATTCTTTTTCTGTCCGAAGGTCACTGGGGTTTATGCAGTGAAGCAGATCCGATAACAAAATGCGAACCTGATTTGTGAGCGATATAGGAATGCTACGACAAAACAAATACCACCACTAGAATCACTGACATCAATAGTACCTCTATAGCCTCCATTGACCTCTAGTTGCCTATAGAAAAAGGCCAATTGATGGCACAACAAGATCGATATCAACCAGATCCGTTTCTTTTTAATCATGCATATAAAATTTTTTCCGCAAAGAAAAAAAAAAAAAGAAAAAAAAATTTGCATCCTATCTACATAGTCATCCTCTATAAATAAATAAATAAATATACTTGCAATTGCAATGATTAATTTTGGTAGCTTTTTTTGGAGGTTAATTATAAATTAAGGGTATTTACACAACAGTTAAAATATGTCAGTAATGTATCACCCACTAGCTAGGACTATCAATCAGAGAGGGAATTCCGGATGCTTGACCCCAAATAATCAGATAGAGGCCGAAGCAAACTCACCCACAATTAGTAAGCAAGATAACTTTTACAAGCCAAGTAGTAGCAATACTACTACATCTAGTGCCAGTGGAGGTAGCACGATTTTAAGTCCGCCATTGTCGCCATATCAGAGAAATAGCACCACTACTAATGACAGTATCGAAGAGAATAATACCGCACGAGGTGGAGCATTGACTAAGAACTATGTTTTGAGTTCGAGTCCGTTCAAGATCGAGAACTACAAGAAATACGAATTGAAGGTAAATGCATGGAACGGGCTTGATTCGAATTACAGGGCGAAGCAATTCAAGTTTCTCGAGCAGTATTCGATCATTTCAGCGAAAGAAAAGTCGCAGCCACAGCAAAATAGAAGAATAGCGAGCCGTAAACGGGAATTCAATTCAGATAGCGATTCTGAATTTACCAACACAGAGAGAGTGCGGACCAGGAGAATAGCGAAGGAGAGTTCTGTGGTTGGAAGCGGTGTGTCGGACATCGAATCATCGAGAGCCAGTTCACAGTCACCATCTCCCAGAAAGAAGAAGGCCAGAAAAGAGGCATCTTACACCGGGTCACCATTGGCGATCCAGCAGGCATCATTCATAGACGAGAACATCCCTGATTACTCTCCTGATGTTTCGACGTTACCCAAGGGCAATAACAGAAGCTTGAAGGTCGAGTGGAAGGGACAGCCAATGGACTTGAGAAACGATCCAAATGCAGACAAATTACATCCTGCAGAGGTCTTGTTAGCTTCTACTTTGAGATTGCCATGCAATGTGTATCTTGATTCGAAGAGAAGGTTGTTTTACGAGAAGGTTAATCGTGTGAAGAGTGGCATGCAGTTCAGGCGTACAGACGCGCAAAAGGCCTGTAGGATCGATGTTAACAAGGCCAGTAGACTATTTGCAGCCTTCGAAAAGGTTGGATGGTTAAATGACGTTCATTTCACGAAATATTTGTAAGAAACATGGTGTTTCTAGTAATTATTTATACAAGAAGAGATAAAAAGACAAAAAAAATACAATGCATTGGGTATGGATAATAGGTATAAGTGAGATTTATTTTTGTAAATATCAGGTTTGGGTTTTAATTTATTTATATAGGGTTTATTATGTTTATGTGTGATAATTGGTTATTTATTAGAATATAATGTAATATTTGAAGAATATTTGTAGAGCTGTTCTTTCTTATCGCAGTATATAGGTCATTTTGGCGAAACCGATCTGATTTCAGGGTTTTTTTGATACTATATCTCCGGTAATCGTCCATTATCACTATCCTTCAAATACTCTCAGAAATAGGATGAAGCTACCTATACCTACAACTCGAAATCGGCAATACAATCTGCATCTATTGTTATCTACATTATGTTTATAAGATGCCACTTTTTGATTCTTGTTCCAACGTATAATCATGAAACCATATTCAATTCCGTAAATAACAAACGAAAAATTCCGTAATCGTATTGCCGTATTAAAATATCTCCCCATATCGCACGGTCCGAAATGGCTATTCCACCTCAGGCGACAACGTACATATATACAAATTTGAATGTAATTTGAACTTCTGATAACATAACCTATCCCACTGTCAACTAAACACACTTATATGACTATTTGTATGTTGCTCTAGCCTAAAGTAGTTTACCTCTTATTAGATTACTATGCAGATAGGACCCTTTCTTCCGAACTACTTCTACGAATCTATTACACGAATAATACATCGTTGAAACATAAAAATCCAAATGTCTGTTAACATACAGACCAGATGATGCCGTCGTAACCGAAAACCTGCTAATTTATCCTATGAAAAAGTTTCTTCGTATTCGCCTTAGTCAATGCTGGTTATCTCCACCTAGGAAATTCTATATAATAGAACTTACACAAAAGCCGCACAACCAGTATTTTTCACGAATCGCAATTAATACCCTTAATTATATCCAACATGGGCGTTTAATTGATGAAGAAATTTCACAATATATTTGTCTTCTTATATTAAATATACTATCATAAGTTGGATTAATTGATACTATTTCTTCATATATAACGATATTATTATCACATTCGCTTTAAACGCTTGAAGAAGACATTCTAATCGGGAAACCCTTAATTTCTATCTGGTATATCGAATTATTTGAACGGATAACAAGATATAAAGTTTTACTAGAGTCATACGCGAGGGATTCTCTATTAGAACAAGAAAAGGAAAGAGAGAGAGAAAGAAAGAAGGGAAGAAACGAAGAAACTAAGAAACTAAGAAACTAAGAAAGAAATTGAAGGACGAAGGAAACAACTTTTCAATTAGAACTATGAGTTTTCATCAGTATATTCCAAGCAAAGAAACGGCTTCCCAGATATCGATTGAGCCTATTCCGTACAATGTTCAGGCTAATCCTATAAATGGAGGAGCCATAAATAATCACTCGCTACAATATTCTCCTACCAATGAACAATTTCACCCCATGCCACCCCAACAGATAGTTCGGCAGCAGATGGTGGATAGCTCGCCGACATCAGTCTCGCATGAAATGTTTCAGAGCCCTACTCAGTTGTCGTCGCAGATGAATAGATTTCATTTGCAAACCCCCACCACCGACTGCAGTCCAGTATTTTCCAACAACAATAAAAACAGCTCCAATAACACGCCTGTGTACCAGACCGTCACGCCTACCAATAGTATACCACGGAGTAATCAGAATCAGTATATATTTTCGCAGAATGCACATACCACTCCGGTAATGGTGGGACAACCTAACATGAATATGTCGCCTACTGCAAATACCCACATGCACAATCAACTGGCGAACCAACACTTGGTTCAGCAACATTTTTTGATGCAGCAGCAGCAGTTGATGTCCCAGAACAACCAATTTGTTCCTTCGAACCCAATGAATCAGAATATTGAGCACAAAGTAGCAAAACAAGTGGATAATGATAAAAAGGTTACCCACAGCAGAAAACCTAGTGTAACCTCTAGTGTCACGAAGCCTGCAAAGCCAAGGAAAGCTTCGAAGTCCAAAAAGGATTCATTTTCTAGTTTAGAAGATTTAAAAGCTTCGGAGGTGTACGAATATGATAAGGAAATTACAATTGATGACTTATTAAAAGATGATCCTTTGCTTGAGTTAACAAGTCCTGTAGCCCTTGAAGATGAAAGCCACGACAACAGCTTGTTTTCGAGCTTTGTTGATTACGAAGATATATCTCAACCACAGCCGAACTTTGTTGGGCTAGGGTTAGATTTGGATTTTAGTTTGAGCGAAATCATGAATGATACCTCAGCGAATGAGAGTACTGTTAAATCCAATTCAAATCTATCATTATATAAGAGGCCTTCTACTCCAGAGCAAGATAAACTGATCGAGTTATTCGTATCTCCTAAAAAGAAGTCATCATCGTCTCCGAAATCATTGAGTACAACTTCCAACTCACCCACTAAATTCTCGCTGGATAAATTATTTCAGAAACCAGACACGTTTATCGGAACTGTGCCACGGTCAGCATCAAATTCTTCAATCAATACAACTCCTACGAATAAAAACCAGCCTAGCTTTTCATTGAGCGAATGTTCGAATACGTTCCCGGTGAACTCAAATACTACTAATAATTTCTCGTTTGTTATCGAAAAGAAATCGTTTTCGGTACAATCCAATTCAAACTCCAAGTTAAGAAGAAAATCATTACCCAAAATTAGCCAGAAGGTAAACGAAAGACCAAGCATGAAGAAAACAAGCAGCGTGTCTGATGCCAGTATAGTTAAACCTAACGGCCATCCACCTTTAGCTCACCATCATTCTTCTAGTTCTTTAGTTACTTCGCCCAAGGTCTTGAGAAACATGAAATCAGGTATGTTACTGTTTCAGCTCGACTTGAATAATAATGGGAATAAATGAAACGCTTGGGATTGATTTTCGATATTAAATTAAGTTATCATTTCGACAAACCTACAAGTTTTTTCGGTTAATCATTTTAAAGGTTCGATACTTTTCTTGTATCCTTAAGTTCAAAATAGCTTATTTCATTTACTTCACAGAATGATTCTATACACTATACCATTGTACACATACTTTATTCTTCTAATAGCATATACATTTAATATTACTTTTCATATTTTCGGGTTATACAGTTCAGAGCTATTCTACAAAGTAAAAAGTCTTCAAATCTTCAGTATGTATTAATGTAATTTCTAACGAAGTAAATCAAAAAGACAAAGCAAAAGACAGAGTCTCGTGAGTAATATAATGCAATGTTTAGTCTTTTTTTGGTTACAATTCCTAGTAAAGGAGCTACCATAAATCATGGTAATGATGAATCTTGCGGCATGTCGTTCTTTATAAGTCTTTATCTCTTGGAACGTATTCTTCACCACTTAAAATTGGACTAGTTCTGTATAATCTTCTCAAAGGTGTTTGGCCATCACTAGAATAAGCATAGTATGCTAAGCCTGCTGGGACAGCTCCCATCATTAACAAGTTGAATGCAATTGATTTTGGGGTAAAACGGAAATAAGTTCCAAGTGATTCTTTTGCAGCGTTGAATCTTTGAAATGCTGGATCTGGTTTCAATGTACCTGCCATATTGCTATATATATATGATTATTGTATAGTGTTTTCTTTGACAATCGTACCCTTAGTATAGATAGGTTATAATTTGACTTCGAGGATTTTTCATTGGTCGTAAAAGTAACACAAAGTTGAAAATGATTATTACACGACATAAGTATAGTGTACATACATTAGTTCTACTATGTAAGCTAGTATACAGTTGGATTAGAAATCCAGTACGACGACCGGAAAGATTGTTTGTAGTGGTCCTTTTATCCCGAAGAAGGTTGCGGTTGAGGTTCCGGCAGCCTTACTGACTGCAATGTTTCATTAATTTGCTTCACGTTCTCGATGTCTGAAACGGAAGTGAAATCTGTAATATGCAAAGTATCACTCTGGGAGTTTTGGAGATGGTCTGGTTCCAAAACCCCAATACTCTCTAGTAACTTGAAAGACTTGCCCTGTATATATCTATCTCTCACAGAAGGCGTGAAGGCCATGTCATTAATTCCACCCTGGGAAACGCCATTCTTGAACTTGTTGTGCATTTTCAGGACTTGAGTTATTAAGTCGTCCACTTGGGATAGCAAAAAGTACAAGTTTTCATCCAAAGGAGAAAGAGATTTTATTGCCAGACGTGCCTCAGCCGTCAATTTTTCACCACTGTTATCGTGGTCCAAGAAGCTCAAACACTGACGAAACAGTCTGAGCATTCGCACAAGCTTGTTAGCCTTTGTTATTTGAAGCTTTAGGATCTTGCGGAGACTTAATTCCATGTTTATAAACTTGATCAACTTTTCGATTTCTTCGTCTAGTTTCTGCGAATCCTCATCTTTCTGGTATTCTATGCCTTCGTGGTGCATCAACCTCACCCATCCATCCCTCACCAAGTCCGATGGCACCGTGAAAATGTTTCTTAATGCGTACAATTCGAACTTGTCGAAATTTTTGTCAACTTGACTCTCCAACAATGTCTCCAACTTGGCCGTACCTAGTTGTATTTCATCATCCGGAATTGCATACGCTGTATCCTCCGGACCTTCCATCACAACGTCCTCATCACTATTTTTCTCTTTCATCGTCTCTTCTAGTCGTTTTTGCTGTCTCTCATTTAAATATGTCTCCATAGCTTGTGTGCACTTATACATAATGTCATTGACCGCATTTATAACATCGTCGATAAGTGCAAGCGGAGGGAACCCAAAATGCTCCGTCAATAAAGCCGTAGCCCTATAGTCTGTGACACTCATGTATAGAATTCAGACCTAAACGAGTACGCCTGTTGTGCTGTTAGCTATTAGTATCTGATCCACTGTTTGTTTTTATTCTACGATATGTCTACCACAATATCGCACGTGACCGCGTTGGAATCGATCAGTCAAAATGGGATATTCAACGGCGGTTCGTTCAATTTTATGGGGGACTGGAGGGTTTGCTAGACTATATCTTGCTCTGAGGATGTGGGAGATAATAGTGTACGTTTCTGAATTTTATCTGGATCATTTTGGGCCAAGATCGCCGAGATGTGACCTGCGGGCGCTTGTTGTAGTCGTAGCCGGTAAACTAGTATGCTAGTATGTTGCAACCTTGAAAGAAACCAGAAATGCTAGTCGAACACAGTATATCGTCTTGATCAGCTTACAATTGTAGGAATTAAGAGCTTATGTTTAGGAAGGATTTTAAACGAATTATCAGTTTCATGAGAAATGCGAGCGTATTCTTAATTTGAACAATGCAAGACTTAAGAAAGAAAACTAATAGCAATTTGAATAAATAATATAACAATTGGTGAAGTTCAATTCTTCAATAAAGTAGCTGTATATTAGAAAAGAGAAGGAGTTTTTTTATTTGCTTAGATTACATCAGTGGATTTTAGAAAGTATTACAAGATGGCCACTACCGAAGACGGAGGTGAACCTGGGTACATAGATTCACTCGACGCCAAAATCATTCAGTATCAATACAACATTACTAAGATACAAAGCTTGATTCCAGCAATACAGAAGCTAGCAGCAAATTCATCGGAATCGAAAGAGTTGCCATTGGTACAATACGCGGTTTTGTTATGTGGAAGCATATTTGCCATAAATGAGGGAGTATTTAGCACGAAGTTGGAAATAATAGGGGAATTCAAGCTTTTCAAGCCTGTGCCTATTAGTATTTCCAATACTGTAACGCATATACCGTATGACAACCCTGATATTACTGTCAAACCGTTATCTGAGTTACCCAGTCCAGAGTCGGGGGTAAAATGTTTGAAGTCATTAGAGGAATTGTGCTACAGTTGCTTACAAGGATACCAGAAAAGATTGCAGCAGGCTAAGATCACGAAGGAAAAACTGAAGCTATTATCGTCTGATTATTTCGGTGACTTGGAAAAGATATTGAAGGACCAAATATTTGATAATGGCGACAACGATTTGACTTTAGAACATGGATTAGTGCATAAATTGCCAGAGGATACATCGTTGTTGGATGATGAAAATTACGTGGAAGCTTCTTTGACAGATATGGACATCGAAATGATTTTCACCGTTACAGGGCAATTGCGGTCGACACTAAACCATTTAAAACCGAACCTTATTCCTTACCAGAAGTTGAAAACAATTCCAAAGACACAACAGGAGGACTATGTCAAGTCGATGTCGGACGGAAAATATGGATTGCATAAATTATTAATGTTGACTTTGAGATTGAATGAGATATATTCCATTTTAAGAAAGGTTGGACGAAAAATCTATTTTTCAAATTATCAGCACCTTTATGACTATAAATTAGCTTTTCAGTCTAGTAATTCGAATTATTTCAAGTTGAATTTGTTGAAGGAAGTGGATGGATTGTTCAATGCGACCAAAAAAAATGGAACATTAGTTGCGAACTTAACGAGGTTTGTTAGGCAGAATTCAAGATACGAATTAAGTTGCAAGACTTTATTAGATTTTTCTAATTTTGTCAATCAGGCTTATAACATGATTGAGAATATGATTTTCAAATTTGAAGAATTTGGATTTAACTGGATTTCGTCGGAACTAAGATTTAGGAAAGTTTATGGATTACCAAAGAAGGCGTTGATAGATGTTTTCCAAAAGATAAAGGACTCAAAAAATAAACTCCGAGAAGGAACCGATGCTTCAGATGTACCTAGGAAAGCAGCAACAGCAGATTCGAAACCCACAAAAAGCGTCGACAATAGTAGAACAGGGAATCCTCAAAAGAAAGAATCAGAAAACAAAGAATCAGAAAACAAAGAATCGGAAAACAATTTAGAGAAATTCCCCGAGATAGACGAAACAAACCCAAAATCAATTGAACAAGATTTTAAAAAATTAGAACTAAATGATTCACTGCCTAATAAGGGGTCGCGTTCTTCGTCTATATCAAGTCAATCCAGTAATAGTAGCTCCAACAAGTTTTCAGTCAATCCAACTAAGCGAAAACTATCGTCATCCCAAAATTACAGAAATTCCACGTTGCCTCTGCCTATGTCCAAGGCTTCAAATCTGCTTAATCAAAGGCCAAGTTCAATGTTATTTATGAATTCAAATTCGTCATTATCCAGTTTCCCATCTGCTACACGAAACGAAATAAATGCAGCTACGACAACTACTCCATCTGGTCGTCGGAGATCAACGTCTCTGCCAATTAGTCCTAAAGTGACTGTTTTGCAAGATAATACTCATAAAGCTACATCAGGCGCCGCTGCAGCGTTAGCAAGAAGTAATAGCTTAAAAACACCTAATTCTCCCTTACGTTCACCATCTGGGTCTATTAGTTCGCCGAATGTGAGATCTCCATCAGGTTCAATTAAAAGACTGGGATCTCAAACGAGACTGGGGAATGGAGCTCAACAGCAGCCTATTTCGTCTCCATCACCCAAAAGTAAACATAATCCACTCATTGTGGTTGAAGAGGAAGATAATAGTGATACCACTTCTGCCAAGCCACTAACCGCAAACCAAAGGTTACAATTACATTTGAGACAAGCAACAAAATCTGGTACATTAATGACGCAACAAAAGGAAGCTTTAACATCAGTTGTATTCGATCCGAGCGAACCATCTACGTTTAATTTGCGTAAATCTGTTGAGTCTCCCCCAACTAAGGAATCTTCTGATTCTCCTACGCAGCAGCAAGCGCCGGTATTATCACAGGGCCCGGCTCCAAACCAACCGCAAACTCGTGATCAAGTAACAAGAAGAAATACAAGGAGAAACAGCGTTACGCCGCATTTGGGCAACCCAGCGTCCCCAAACAATTCTTCAGTGACAACAATTAATGCTCAAAATACGTCTGAATCGTCTGTATCGTCAGCATCTTTTGAAGATAATAGTGCAGGTGCACAAATTAAAAAGGTCAGGTTTACGGGTGTTCCTGAGTATTCAGAACTAGAAGATGCACCAACAACCTATGCCAATAGATTGTTAAAAAATTTTGCAGTATTCAAGGCTCCACCAAATAAGCCTGGGTTTAAGAGAAAGGATCAGTTGTTAAAAACAGAAGAAAGTTTGTCTTTAAGATCTCATCTCCGAGATTCATCGGCCGGCGCCTTTAGTCCGCCGCCTCAGACTGGATTGTCCAAGTTAAGGAATAAATTACTTTGAATATAGGTATTCGTTGCATAAGAATCTTCTAAATTTTTTGCTGTGCGGCTCAAAATTTTTCAATTTTTTTTGACTTCTCATCTTCCAAGTCTTACAAACTGATTTATTACTTGAGCTTTAGAATATATATACACTTATAAATATATACAAATAATCATGTCAGTTGATACCAATAATGGGTATAACACATCTAATGAACCACAATTTAAAAAAAGGAAGCAATTCATAGTTCCAAAAAGTACTAATCCAATTGGTGATGAAGGTGTCTCTGAATGCTTTCAAAAATTTACAACATCCTTATATGTATCGTTAGCACCATGTCATATATCTAACCCCATTAACGGTGTTAAATCACAACATTTAGATCCTTTGATCATGTCATACTTTCCAAAAGCTAAAGGAGTTTGTTTAGCATATTCGAATATCAAAATATCTGATGACAATGTTACAAAAGATACAGATGACAATACCATCACTGTGGCTAAGGTAACAGATTCGTCTCCATTCACCTTCTTATGGGTATCAGTAGACTTTTTAATATGGAGACCTCAAGTTGGAGATACGTTGGAAGGATATATTTACATGCAAACTGCATCGCATATAGGTTTGTTAGTCCACGATACATTCAACGCTTCAATTAAAAAATTTAACATCCCAGTTGATTGGAATTTTATACCAAGTCAAGAAGATGAATATTCCGAAGAAGCCAATGATTCTAATAAATTTAAATCATTTGGATATTGGGCTGATGAAAATAACGTTAAGATTGAAGGTAAATTGAAATTTACTATTAAATCAATTCATACTACGGGCAAAGTGGTTTCATTAGATGGTACTTTGATAAAACCAGGCTCAGAAAGAGACGCACAGCCTATTTTCAGAGAACGTCGTTCATCATCATCATCGATCACTGCATCGCAACCTGGTAAGCACAAAAAATTCGACGACGAGGACATACCTACTGTTACCGAAATTCCTGAACCAAAGGAAGATGACTTAAGTACTTTACCTGGCTACTCTAAACAAAGTGACGATGAAGACGAAGACAGCGCAGTCGTTAATAATTCGGATTCCGAAGAAGAAGAATCAGATTAGATTCACTTAAAATATTTGTCTTTCAATTGCATTAACAATATTTTTCTCTTTTATATGTACAATTAATAAATTACATTAGATAAAACTATAGTACGTGTATCAATTCTATATACATGGGCATGTCTATTTTAGTGGTTTGTCGTCATTAATCATTCTCCATATTACATCGCTTTCCTTTGGAGTTGGTCTATCATATTTGGTATGTCTGTTCCCATAGAATAGCCTATAATACCATTTATCTTTATTCATTAAGCCAATAGGGCTAGAACTGTGGTGCAAATGAGTACCATTACCAGTACCATCCATCATTGTTAATTTTTGAACCTTTCGTAATTTACGGAAATTTAACATAGTAAGTAAAATACCCTGTATAATTGAAAAGACTACAACAGCACCAAAACCAAATGTTGATTCTTCGATGTAGTTTTTCAAATTCATACCATAGAAAGCAGGTAATAAAGTGGCTACTGTAAATCCTAGGGTGTAAACCGTTATTTTCAATTCAAATAACATAAGTGAATTTCTATTAGTATCCAATATAATGTTTACAATTTCTTCGGTAGCTTTGATATCATTTATCAATGATCCAGCTTGCTGAACGAATTCGTCACATTGTTTATAGTACGATTCTAACATCATTTCCAAATCTGCGAAATCAGTAGGATTTTCAATGGTTGGGTCAAATTTTATAGGATCTGTCAAGTACATACCGGCTAAGTCCTCATCATTGTCTAATAATTCCTCTAAAACATTTCTAATTAAAACAGCCTTTTGATAAAAGCTTGATAATTTTTTCAGTTTGATTAAAAGGTCTTGCAATTTACTCCTATCAATTTCGTCTTCTAATTCAGCTAATATAAGCCCACATCCTTGCAAGTGATTTCTCAAATCTGCTTCCAAATAACTCATCACACTGATAAGAATACTTTCAAGTGCTCTAAATTCATAACAAACGTTTCCCGATGGCAATTTTAATTTCATCTCAAGATCATACATGAACAACCCTAGTTTTGTCGCAATAGATGGAGTGGAAGTATCGAAGACCATGACACTATCCTTCTTGACTATAGCCTTAATATGGAGTAGATTTACAAGTATGCAATTAGGGGAACGGACCATAATCAGTGGCACCACATCGATTGAAGATGTATCGATTTTACGGAGATCTCGAGGGAATAAGTCATTACCTTTAAGAAACTTCATTTTAGGATATTTTCTAGAGACTGCTGTAATGTTACCTTTAATATCGAATATTGTGCACGATACATACGAATCATTCGGCGTAATTGGTTTCAACCTATTATAGATTATTTTTTTATCGTTTGTAGGAACAAGCTTATTAGGTTCAAATTGATGATCTAAGAATGATTCTGATATACCATCAGGTATGTCAGCTGTATTCATTGCATGTGTATTCGTATCAGTGATTTTCTTCAAAATATCTTGATTCCGTGATACTGTTGATTTATATTTGACAAACAGCTTGTATAATCCAGATGAGTACCGATTAAACAACTGCCTAGGTATCGGGCATTTTATATGATGTAGGGAAGTCCACATAAATGTTTTCTATTGATTGATTGTGAAAATTCAATTTAAATCTGGTGTTTGGAACAGTTAACTAATCACTAACAAAATAAATTTTAAACTGGAGAGTACCTCAAACGTTGCTTCTATAAAGCAAAAAGCAAATAAATATATGAAAATGTAACACAGTATATGAAGTATAGTTAAATGAAAGTATAAATTCCTTGATAGATGCTTTCAATTTTTTCTCTGCAAGATTTTTAGTCGCAATATTTCTTGTTGACGTTTCGATAAGGCTAATGAATGGTTTATTTTGAATTTATAAAAAAGTATGTAGAATTATAAAATAAGCAGCTGTGGTTATAAACCAAACAATTTAAAAATAATGAAAATGAATTACTACAAACGGTTAAAGCTTTAACGTCATCTCTAAGAGTAAAATGAAATAAATATTAGGCAAAGAACTTTCTGGTTTCAGAGATACCAAACAATTCTAATCTAATACCTGGTAATGCTTCTTCAGATAATATCTTCAATCTTTCTTCCAAAGTGTTATTAACTTCAATCTTTCCACTTTCATTGACAACAATAACACCACCGAGAGAATCCTTACTTAAAAAGTTCTTCTCATCAACAGTGATTTCAACAGGGCTTTTAGACTTCGCTTCATATTCTTTAGCAGCATCTGGGGCTGCCTCTTTTGCCAAGGCAACGTCTGCTTCTCTGACTTTAAGAGTAACCTTTCCTTCTAATAAAGCTAATACACCTTCTTCGATCAAACTGGTCAAAACTGGCTTATACGCAGATTTGTTGGATGTAGTCTTGCTCAATTCCTTTTCGGCAGCTTCGAATATAGTGTTCAACACCTCCTCCTTTTTGGACAAGATTCTCAATCTAGTCTTGTTACCAATGGTCGATTTGGTGATTTGTTGAGCTAACGACGCCTTTTTCAATTTTTGCTCGTAGGTAGAATCAATAGCAGCCGTTTCCGATCTGACTATAGATGCTTTTTCAATTTCATATTCCTCGTCCGCTTTCAATCTGATTTCTTTGGCCTTTTCTTGCGCTTCCTTCTCGATGAAGGCTTTCATCTTACGAAGCTCAGTATTCACCTAATTCATGTTAGTACCCCAGTTTTTCTGAAATTCAATTCCAATTGAAATATACTACATACTTGGTCATCAGTCAAAGACATTGTATTATATCCAGCTATTATATTAGTCGTAGACAGATGTTTATTACTCTTCACGTTAATTCTTATCGAGCTTTAAGGAGTTGAACATTTCAATGATAATTTTAATTGGCGCACTACCACCACTAGTATACTACTACTACTACTACTACTACTACTACTACTACTACTACTATTAGTACTAGATTTCTAAAAACTTATAAAATAACAAACTAAATGCTTTTTGAATAAATATTACTTATCGTACACATAGCCAAAAGTCACTCGTATCTGAATCCGCTATCAGATTTGCAAGCAAAAGCAGACGAAGGACTTTGGGAAAATATATATAATAATCTAACCGAGTTTATCGAAGAAGTTTCTCGCCAATTCAACACCCAAGAATGTGGCTGCATTAGCTGGGAAAGATCTTGCTAAAGCAGGACCCACACCTGGGAAAAATGCTTTAATACCACCCCTCTTGTAAATGTTTTGTGTAGTTTTAACAATCGAGACATTAGTATTTGACGATTGTTGTGTAGATTTGATGGTATCAATTGGGAAAACACCAAGCCACATGGAAACACCAGCACAACCACCGGCCATTGTGATAGCAAATAAGGATAAATCTGTATCTGGGGTGGTTAATCTACGCTTGATGTATTCATAGGTAGCGAAATATAATGCAGAACCAGGACCATCTCTAGCTAAGGTTGCAGCAGAACCCTTGAAAATAGATCTGATACCACCTGTTCTATACATTTCCTTGACAACTGATCCCATAGAGGTTGTCTTGGATCCGTCTTGAATTTGCATCATGACCTTAATTCTTTCAAATGGTGCAGCTACCAAGGTCGTTGGAACGGCGGAAATGAACCCAGCAGTAGAAATGTTGGCAATGGAAAAGTTGGCCACTTCTTTACCTGTAAATGAAGTAACTATCTTTTTCCCAACGTCATAACCCCAGAAGGAAACGGCGAACATAGGAGTGACACCTAATAAAGGTGGTAATACCCCCCTATAAAAACCTGGCAAACCATCCTTAACCAAAGTCAGTTTCACACATTGAACCGAAGAATTATATAACCCTGTCTGTAAACGAACTTTCACTAAGTCAAATGGGTGACCTGTTAAAACAGCACTGAATTGTTAGTATTAAATTCAACCTATTAAATCTCCACATTATAACACATACCAAATACCCCCAAATCCACCAGAGGCAAACGATTTAACGTTATCAACTAATACACTGTCTACTTCTTCCATTCTAAATAAATACTTTATACTTTAAACTTTATAATTTCTATTGATATTAAAAGGAATGAAAAATTGGTGATTTATAAATGAGTGAATTTTTTAAAATCTGGGGGGTCCCCACTCAAATACTGAGCAGCTTTTTTTGTGAACCTCGGATAATATATTTTTATTACTTTTACCGAGAGTTATTGATTAATGCAATACACGTAACTATAGACTATAATAGGTGCTTATTGATGGTCATAATATGCAGTTAAATTGCAGCTAATATTATAGGTTGTTTAAATTTATGCTTTTACACGATCGATATTTCAAATTACATACTTTACAAATTAGGATTCGTAAATAATCTGTGACGTATATTAGTTGTATCGAGTATGCTACTGACCAATAGTCGTACGATTGTATTATCGATTCGCTTGTTACGTAATATAATGACCATGTAAATCAGAAATGTACATTTTCAGATATGCTAAAGTCCGAAAAGCTGCAAAAGTATTAGAAAAAGCGACTTAGGTCTTTAAGCTCTGTGTCGGACCTTAGATCCTTTATAAAAACGTGTAACATACTCTTATAATTGGACATGTACAAATCCTTGTAGATTTTATTAACAATGAGTTTTATTTTGTTTTCTAACTCTTCTAGATCGTCGTCAAACTGATTCATATCTTCAGAACGTAAATTTTCTTCCACATTCAAAATGGAAATATAATTTACTATAAGACTGTTATACTCTTCCGAGCTCTTAATAAAAGCGAAGCAGACCTCCAAAAATTGGTATATTTGCTTGATATAACTCGTTCCAGAGTGTTTCCCTATCTCGGTATCACTTAGAATCTTGAAATGTGTGACTTTTTGCAAATACGTCGAATGTATATTAATCAATTCATCAAATGTTAATTCGTTCATATTATGCGTTATTATCCTCGACTTTGGGGATCCTGAAAAATGACTTTCATCTTTCTTTAAAGCTTTGGTAAAATCTTCATTTAATATGGGTAATATTCCCATGTTTTTAGACGACGTGGAATGTAAAACAGGAGAGTTTGACTTGAAAAGCTGTCTGATTATTAATTGATCGAAATTATTTTCAATAATATCGAATGACAAATATTTTACCAATGTTGATATGAATTTTATTAGCTGGTGTCTTATGAGGCATATTGTATTAAAAGACTTCATTAACCAAATAATCTTGTTGTCTCTGATGCCTAGCCGTAAACTTGCTTTGGACTTTAATTGTCTTTTCAATTTAATATACCTACTCAGGATCCTTCTCAAATCATTTTTCTTAACACTACTACATTCAATGAAGTTTAAATTCAACAAATAACTGAAGTGGCGTAATTTCCAAAGGAAATTGAACATTTTTAGATACTCTAGCGTGCCATTATTATAATTCAAAATGTGATAAATTGGTGAATCAGAGATTTTGTATTCTAATGTAAACACCTCCCATCCTATATTTCCATGACTTAGGTCCAAAATTCTAGCATCCAATCTATTTTTATAATCTGATCTATAGTTCCTCACGGAAGAATTGTTAATAGACTCGATTAATACTTTAGCTAGCTGATTTGACGTTAAGCTATTGGCTGGTTCATTGAATAAAACTATTCCTTTTTCTATTATTGATTCAATAAAATCATTTGAATTCATCAATAAAAACTTCTTAAAATTTTGTAAATGATGAAACATGCTGTGTTTCTGCTGTAAAACTATCGTAAAATAGTTAAGAATCTCTTCATACTGAAGGTTAATTAAATCTATTATGATATTTGATGGCATTGATTGTATACCTTGATTGTTTTGAAATATATACGTCGAATATTTCATACTGTAATCACTAATCCATTTCAATTCTTTACAATACTTAAGGAGAAAAATTAACATTTTTCCAATTTGATATATCTTATATGCCATAGTTTCATTCATTGATACGAAAAAATCCGGTATCCTTTGGGGTAAATATTCAATAATATCATTAATATGTTGTGCTTCGGTATTAAAGGCTATGAAAAACTCGTCGCTATTATCTATCAATTCACCTTTTATAATCCAATGTTCAAGAACCTCGTAGTATGGAGCTGCTATTTGCGAAAAAATATTGTGTGTTAAGTCCTTTATTCGTATGTCACCAAACTTTGATAAATGGTATACCTTGGATAAAAATTCATATCCACTTATATTCAATTCATTAGTTAGGGAATACAAAAGTCTCAATTTCAATATGAAGGGAAATAGCGCATTATACACGGCTATTAATGAAGTTGGTTCAGTATTAAAGTATTCATTAATATGGTTCACGTAATAATTTAGTTCCGATTCCAATGATCTCAAAAATGCAGTTTTAATAGGCGAGACTATTTTTCCTTTGTTGGAATCCACGAATGTCTTGAGCTTCTTATAGATTAACCCAGGTTCTAGTATGCTATGGAGAAGTCCTGAGTAGCTACTATTAATATTCGGGGGTAATTCAATAGAATTACCGTCTCGCAGGAATGACAATAATTTAGAATCCAAGCCCAATAGCGAATAGGACAAATATATCAATATAGTATCCTCGGATAATGTTTCGTAGTATGGTGATATTACTTCGCTTAACGGCACAGTGTTTGTGATATTTTTACTCCCAACTTTAGAGATGTTACTAGAAACATGATATGGGGATGACTGTAAATCATGATGTATTCTTTGTTCCTCTATATTATGATACCCCCTAGAATTATTACCAATGCTTGTTACTCTTATATTTGGTATCAGTCTCGATTCTTCTGTGCTCTGCAAAGCGTTTAAAAAAATTAAATAATTGCATATTTGATCAACCGATTTCGTCTGGGAAAGCATTTTAAGAATTGACTGAAATTTAATCCACAGCTCTTGTAATCCGTTACTTAAAAATAATGTCTTGAAATGGTTTGTTAGTTGGTTTATATCTATATTGGGTGATGATGATTTGGGTGATCTCAATAGATGGTTTAATAGATCATTGGTTATACTTTGTATGTATTCATGTCCGAATTCCACCGGGACCAAGGAATTCACTAGTCTACTAGTATAAACCTTTATTAGTTGGTCCTTATCTAGTGTCATTATGGCTCTCCTTTTAGATTATAATGTAAAGTACATTGTGATTGTTTTCTTTTGCAATTGAGCGCGTTGATGTTTTGATCCTACGATTTTGTGTTACTCAACTATTATAGTACTATATGCTTCAACGTAATAGTATTAGAATGAATTACAAGATAAACAGAGTGCATTGTCAGTATATAGATGAAAACTTTTATTAAAAGATGGCATAGCTAACGTAAAAAAAACACAATAATGTGAAAAAAATTATGTAGTATCACTTTTAATCCTTAACACCAGAACTGACTCCAATAGGTTGAATAACTGGGTCGATCACGTTAGGGTTTAAGTCAGCATCAGTCAAAGCTAATTGTTCGTAAGTCCAAATGTGTTCTTGTGGTTCGACATCAGGTTCACCAACACCACACAAACCTCCTTTAACTTCCCAATCGGTGATTCTTGGCAAACTCAATTCACTGAAAACCGAATCAATGGCACCAATCAATTGAGTTGAAAGCTCAGGTCCGTGACCTGGAGTTGGAGTGATTCTCAATCTTTCTTCACCGATTGGTACAGTTGGGAAATTGATGGCCTGAACGTAAATGTTGTGCTTATCTAATAACAAATCAGAGGCCTTTTTAGCGTCAACAGCGTTACCAACTAAAACTGGCACAATATGGGATGGGTTTGGAATAACAGGAATACCAAGATCGGTCAAATTGTTCTTGACGTATCTGGTATTGGTTTGTTGAGCGATACGGTCTTGCAAGGTTGATCTTTGGTAACGAATAGAAGCGCTTGATCCAGCCATAATTGATGGAGGTAAAGTGGTAGTGAAGATAAAACCAGGAGCAAAAGACCTAAACCAATCAATTAAGTTAGCCTTACCAGTGATGTAACCACCAACGGTACCGTAGGCCTTACCTAAAGTACCTGTAATCATATCCACTCTATTCATAATTGTTTGAGTTTGTGGCGAAGCAATACCCGACTTCAAATGGGCGTCGAAGTCTAAGTGTTCAGCAACACCGGCGCCATGAGGACCATACATACCGACTGCGTGGACCTCATCAAGGAAAGTTAATGCTCCGTATTTTTCTGCTAAGTCACAAATAGCTTCGATAGGCGCGATCGAACCACACATAGAGTAGACAGATTCAAACGCAATCAATTTTGGGGTTGATTTTGGATACTGAGCTAATTTTTCTTCCAAATCAGCCAAATCATTATGCTTGAAGACTTGCTTTTTAGCTCTTGAATTCCTAATACCTTGGATCATAGAGGCATGATTTAATTCATCAGAAAAGATGACTAAGTCTTTGATCTTTTGGCCAAATAACGATAAAACTGCATCGTTAGCAACAAAACAAGACGAAAAAACTAACGCAGCTTCATGTTTGTGCAAAGCAGCTAACTCCGCTTCTAACTTAAGGGCATGGATGTTGTGTCCAGCAATGTTTCTGGTACCACCGGCACCTGAACCATACTTCGTCAAGACTCGCTTCATTTCGTTTAGCGTATTCTCATTTTTACCCATACCAAGATAATCATTAGAGCACCACACAGTAACCTTGTCAGCCTCTTCAGAACGATGAGCCTTAGGGAATTCATTGGCTAAACGGTTAATGTTGTTGAAGAAACGATATGACTTGTCAGTTCTCTTCTTGCCCAATTCGGAGTTTAAGTAACCTTTGAAGTCAAAAGCATTCTCTTTCGACTCAAGATTAATCGCATCCTTGTTTCCAACGAGCTCCTCTGCCTTGAACGAGTATTTTGACTGCGTTGTCGAAGGTGGATTCGAAGCAAGCGAAGAAGCCGTAGCTCTGACAGGCTTAGTGGCTGATGAGTACGATCTAGTCGATTCTTTAGCATTCAAGGCTGCACCCATAAATGGACATTGGCGTGCTTGACTAGTCAAACCTGAGTTTTTACTCAATTGACGTAATGCTTGGGCCGATGACGACTTCACGAATGGACAAACAGACATGGAGACTCGAGTAATTGATTCCATGACTAATTCAGATTAATTTTTTTTTTTTTACTTCAAAGATATACTTTTTTTAATGTTTCTTGTAGATCAAATATATTTTACCGTAATACCTAGCCAGTTACTTATTTTAAGTAACTTTCAAGACGTTAAGTGGGTTATATATGTGGAGAAGAAATAATCAATAGACTTATTTTTCAAGACAAATAAATCTTCTGGTTGAGCAATTTTTTTCAATCCCGCGGAAGGTTATGTAACACCCGCATGTTAGTTTTTGTCATATGAGAGGTCTACAAGAATGACTTAGCATGGAGTAATGTTAAGCGTACCTGTCATGCCACCACGGAGATATTCATAATCAGATGCATCCAACTATAAACTAAATACTGCTTAGTAAAATTATTAGATAAATTGTGAAGTATTTATGCAGCAAATCATCGAGCTCTCAAATAATCATTCTGTCATGTTGCTCGATCGTAAAAAATGTAATGAAGTAAAAATATAAACGACCTCGGTGAGGGTCGAACTCACGATCTTGAGATTAACAGTCTCACGCCTTAGCCAACTTGGCCACGAAGTCAGGAACTGAGGGTCAAATGGGATAAAAATTCTTACGGACAGTAGAACACTCTGTTCGATCTTCCAACGTATATATTCGATTATTTGTTACGGAAACAAGCCCGATATCCAAGTACCGAATTTGTATGATACTGATGACAATGAAAAACTGCTAGAATCATGTTCCTTCGCCATGTTTTTTGGACAATAAGATTTAACGTTACAGTTCTTTTAAAACAAATCAGTTTGGCTTAACCCGTTTAATACATGCCAGATGACACTCTACAACTTCTACAAAGTTCATTAAGCGATATTAATACATTCATAAACCTCACCCGTGACCTCAATAAACTATATATTCAAAACCTATCTTATTATACAAAATATTAGTTGAATCAAATAATTTATTCTTCGTCTTCTTCTTCTTCGTCATCAGCGACGGAGTAGAACTGTAATTGATATTGGTTTTGCTTAACGGAAACGAATCTAATCCAGTCTCTGATTTGGTTCTTCTTTAAGTATCTCTTGGTCAAGTACTTTAAGTATTTACCGGAGAACTTGGTGTTAGAAACAACAACAACCTTGTTACCTTCTTCAGTAATGGAAATGGAGTTACCTAAGTTACCTGGAATACCTTCAACCTTGATGTTTTCAATCAAGAATTTAACGTAAGATTCTTGGTCGAAAACACCGTTTTCGGTTGGGGCGGAGGTGTCAACGACTAACTTCTTAGCAGCGGTGTTTTTCTTGGTGGTCTATATCCCATGTTAGCCTACTGCACTATTATCATTATACACCAAAGGTGTACGGAGTAATGATAAAGACAGCAAAGCCCAGGGTCGGGTTTGCGTTATCAAAGATGTTTTATCCAACTTATGGTTTTATGAATGTATAATGATCTGCGTTCAACTAAGAAAGCTTCATCAAAAAAAAGTACAGCAGAACCAGTCTGCTGAACAAAAAAAGGTTTCAAAAAAAATCTAAAAAAAAAACACTTGAACACACGAACCCGTACAAAGGGTATTTGCTGCTATTATCACTATATTGTTATAGTTATACATACGATTGGAGCCATTTTTGATACTATTTCTCGGTGTTGAAATACAAAAGAATCTTCCTTAATAAAATTGAAAAAATTGGTTTTAAGTTCGGACATACTCAATGAGAAGTGAAAAATTATTTCTGGTATTGGCACGAATAAAACCTCGAAGGGCTAATGCCCTTGTGTTGGCTTTGTGTAATATGTGCGTTTTCAATAGTAGAGCTGAACCCATTGATGATGTTAGCTGGGGTATAGTCTATGTAGAAAGAAGGTATTGAAATACTAAAGTGTATGAGACTCAAATATGAAATTAAATGATATTTAGTTTTTAGAGTAGATTTGGTATAAGAGGAAATGTAGTAAACTATATTTGCTAAGAATATCTTGGCTATATTTCTTTGCTAAAGATGGTGTACTTTGTAGCAAGGTATTCTACTTATATAAAATTGTGTATATATACTGAAAGATATCTATAAATATAACTTTGCAATATGTTCAGGTGACGCAGTGATACAGTTTGAAATCTAGAAGAATATTCTCGTGATTTGATTTGGAAGAAATAGATAATCTGCCTACAGGTGGAATGATAGGCTGTTATATCATTTGAAGGTAATAACGGCATGAAGCCTATATCTACTGTAAATTTTAAATTTTGAAGAGAAACATATCCATAAAGACCGGCCTCATACCAAGTACTATTTATGTAAAGCAAAACAGATTAATCTTAATCTCGCTAAGTTTGTACCATTAGCGACCTAAACGCATTTTATACAATCAGAAGAGCACTTAATGTAGCAGTGAAGAGTCAATCTTGTAAGGTTGTAGCAATAGTTTGCAGCCGCACCTTTGCGTTCTCATAAATGTCGCACTCTATATGGAATATGCGACACGGGAGTCATCTGGTGCAGATGACTCAAGTGACTCGAATGATTCAATAGTCTCGGTCGGAGATTCTGAAGGGTAGGGTTTTTTGCAATCGCTGGGATTCGGAATACCCAATAAAAACGAGATAATTGTAAACCAACAATGTAATCTTTTTTTAGGAATTTAGTTGTTCCCATATTTCTTGATTTATATAACAATATTCTCTTTAGAAATCAGCATATTTGATATTTAAGATGGCTTCTAAGCATATAATCAAACGTTCTTTCTCTTCCCAGCTGTTACGAGTTTTAGCACCATCAAATACGATTCCGTTAAATGCTCAGAGGGCCAATACGGTGGGGGTTGATTCTTCAATTAACTTCAATATCAATACTAGCTCAGGCACGGGCCACGAGTCAAACATGAAGGCTATTGAATTAGCATTACAGACCGCTAGACCATTGAACTCATGGACCAAAGACCAAATCCGTGAGATATACAATACGCCGCTAATGGAACTAGTTTTCCAATCTCAAATTCAACATAGGAAATATCACAATCCTCAAGAGGTTCAGTTATGTACTTTGTTATCAATCAAGACGGGTGGTTGTACGGAAGATTGCAAATATTGTGCCCAATCGACCAGATATGATACTGGAACCAAGGCTGAGAGGATGATTTCAGTAGACGAAGTTATGAAGGCTGCTAGGACTGCAAAAGCAAATGGATCGACTAGATTCTGTATGGGAGCTGCATGGAGAGACATGACAGGTCGTAAATCAGGATTGAAGCGTATTTCCCAAATGGTTACCCAAATTAATCAAGAATTAGGGATGGAAACATGTGTGACGCTAGGAATGGTTGATAAGAAACAGGCCGCAGATTTAGCTGAAGCAGGTTTGACTGCCTACAACCATAACATCGATACGTCGAGAGAGCATTATCCAAAGGTTATTTCAACTAGAAGTTACGATGAAAGGTTGCAAACAATCAGGAATGTTCAGGATGCTGGTATCAAAGCGTGTACTGGAGGTATCCTTGGGCTTGGTGAAACTGAGGAAGATCATATTGGTTTCTTACACACCTTATCAACCATGGAAAAGCATCCCGAATCTTTGCCTATTAACCGTTTAGTGCCAATAAAAGGAACTCCCATGGAAAAAGAGATATCTAGTTTACCTCGTGAATCTGGCAGACGTTTAAAATTTGAACACATTTTAAAAACTATTGCTACTGCTAGATTAATTATGCCAGAGTCAATCATTAGACTTGCAGCTGGGCGTTATACTATGAAAGAACATGAACAATTTTTATGTTTCATGAGTGGCTGTAACGCTATCTTCACCGGTGAGAAAATGTTAACAACAATGTGTAATGGGTGGGATGAAGACATTCAAATGTTACAAAAATGGGGCTTGAGGCCTATGAAGAGCTTTAACAAAAGCCATATGCCATCAACACATAGTCTGAGTCCAATCGCAAAACCAACTGTCGATCAGACTACAGAGAAGAATTCTGAAGCGTATGTTTTATAAGGAATTAATGTTTTATATTACAGTATATATGATAAATAATAATCTTCATATAATAAATCATACGTCTAATCGTCAAGTTCGTTAAGAATATTACTATTGTCAATACTGATATCATTTTCTTTGTTACTGTTTGAATCTGATAACTTGGCTGTTTGATTTAGAACAGTATTTGAATAATTTATAGCAGGAAGTGAAAATGACTCGTCTTGCGAACATTCACCTATACCTTTGTTATTATTTTCTAACTTAGCACTATTCTGTCTGTCATTATCCTCTAGTTGGTGAGCACTTTTATTTGATACTTCTGCGTTAGATCTAACCAGATTAAGAGCAGAATGGCTTTGTTTCGATAATTCTATTGTGTTATCTGTATCATCAATTTGTGAACTGCTATCCGCCCCGCTCAAAGACCCATCCTTACCGCGTTGAATTGATCTTCTGCCGTGAGATACAATTTCGTCGTCTTTACTATGAGCTTCATCTTCTAATTGTTCGTCCTCTTCATCAGTATAGTCTGTGCCAAATAGATCAGGGGAAATAGCTAATAATTCATCTAATCCACCGCCGGACCACCCTTTCTTTGCAATGCCTTCATATATTTCAAGTTGGGCCCTTACAAGCGAACCTGTTCTAATGAGTAAATGATCTCGATTAAAATTCTCTATCATAGAATTAATTTCATGGTAATATTCATATTTCAACCTGTCAATATCATCAATTTGATTTGTCAAACTCAACAAGTTAATTTTATACGTATTTAAGTTCCTTGTCTTCGACTTCGAAAGCTTCAAGTTTTCGACCTCTTTCTCTTTTAACAATTTCGATTTCGATTTCACTTCTTGCTGATAGAATTTATAATTGGAATTATATTCTTCTTGAAGGTTTATCAACTCTTTTCTCAACGGTTTCTCGAAACTCAGAAATATCAAGCTGCTTAAGATATTCTGATTCGCCGCTATTATGTGCTGCAACCCTCCCGCATTCATTATCCCATTACTCACATTCTTCGAATTATTTACTTTAGGGCATTCATTTATTGAATCTTCCAAAGCATGGCCAAATTCGCTGGCTGCTTCACAGACATTTGCCAATGATAATCGTAATTTTTCTGCCTTATCTATAATGTTGCCATATTTTTCAGTGGTATGTTGGAAGTCTTGTGAAGTTAATATATTTGAAAGATCACTCACAGATGGGGAGAATGAAGTAAAGGTATTCAACGACGGCTCTCTATTCATTCTCTGGCTATATTCATAGCTTCCTCCTGTGGGATCTCGGCCAGGAGAGGCCGGTATATTTGAGCTATTGCTCATGAAGGAGTAGAATTCAGAAAGGTGTTCGGGAGGCTTGTTAGATGATTTAGTAAAATTATATTTACTATGGTTCTGTCCATTCAAATTCAAATCATCAGAATTCTTCCTAATTGTATCTTTTTGAGATGGCATCTCACAGTATCCTATCTATATGCAATTAAAACGTGTTTATCTATCGTTCATATACGAATGTTAACTAATCTAAAAAATTCACGCTCACGAGTGAGGAACGATACATAAAAAAAAGTGGACGAGTCCGGAGTCGAACCGGAGACCTCTCCCATGCTAAGGGAGCGCGCTACCAACTACGCCACACGCCCTGTGTGATTTAAGAAGAGAAATGGTCCCTAGCAGGATCGAACTGCTGATCTTGGCGTTATTAGCACCACGCCTTAACCAACTGGGCCAAGGGACCTTTCTTGAAAGTCGATTAAATGGTATGCATATATACCGCATTATGAAACATTTTCTTACTGTTATTATTCATGATTTAATAATCTTTATTTGACTATCTCATTCTTGTAATTATGATTCCCGTTTGTAATAGTTATACAAATTTGTGGCTTTCAGTAGCTTGACCTTCCTGCTTTTAGAAAATCTAGCATTGTTCAATTTCGACAGATTATTTGAGAATATAACTGCGACATGGTCTCCTGAACCAGCAGAAAGTAAGATTAGTCTAAGATTAGACTATTCGTAGTAAATTATCTCAGATAGTGATTACCATTCTAATTATGTATTTAGTTTTAACATTATTATCATTATATTACTATATATAAGGTATTATAAGCTGCATAAAGCATCGATTGCCTCTTTATTATTCATAATTGTCATTGCAGCTCTACTACAAGCTCTTTTCTTTGTAGCATCAACTGCAGTTGCAACATGTATCCCTTTAACCTTAAGCTCAGCCCGGAATTGCTTTGATGACATTTCATAGGTCTCATAGGTAGGAATAGTCCCCGTATTTTTTCCTAATATTGAATAAAGTTCATTCTTTGCCTTATTATCTAAATCTGTAGAGACATCTGCGATAAGAGGGAATATAGCTGTATCAATTTTTTGTGTTTCGCTCGATTGTGAAGTCGATGTTGATAATGCTGTACTCTTATTCGTCTTATTACTTATCACGGATTGGTTTCTATCCATATTAAATCTTACCTGACTGTACTTTTCGAGCAATCTCTTATTTTTCAATGCTTCCATTGCTGCCCTTAAACCAGCGTCTTTATTACTAGGAGCACTGCCTACCCCTAAAACATCATCACCCATGGTACATCTTATCACAAACGGATTTGATGAGCCATCGCCAGTTTCAACTACCTCGTACTGAGGGTGGAATGCTGCTGTACCAATAAGAGAGTATAACTCCGACTTGGCATCTTTGTTTATCTCTTCTGTACTGCTGATCTGCCTAGCATGTTTATTCAACCTACTGTCCATTAATATAGTAAGCCATTGCTGAATTTCGGTGTAGTCAAACTTACGTTCAATTGCTAATGCGCCGATGTATGCCTCAAATATATCGGCATAAATCTTTTGGGTACTATCCTTAAGTATTTGGTCATTTATATTACTTCTCAACTTCTTATCAAACCCGTATAATATTGAGAATTCAGCTAAGGTAACATTATTAACCAACAGTGATCTGATCTTTGACAATTCACCTTCAGACGCTTCTGGAAATTTATTAAAAATTATTACTGTTACAAGATTATTAAGCACAGAATCCCCTAAAAATTCCAATCTTTCATTATGCGCTGCCATCAACTCAGATTTATGCAAATACGATCTATTATTAATAATAGATTTATGAATGAAGACTCTGTTACAGAGTTTGATATCATTTATTACCGGTAATTCAGGTAGGTTACTTTCCTTCGACTCTGAATCTTTTGATGATTTTCTTTTAGTGTGTCTTTCTGTATCGATGCTTTTTTCTGAGTCTGAACTTACTTCGTCTTCTTCATTATCCACAACTCCTTCTATGACACTAGCGTTATTATTTATTATTGAATCGAATAGCTTTAGACGTCCATTATTGTATTTCGTTTTCAATTGTGCTGCCAACTTGATTAGTTCGTTATTCTCTAAATCAAATAAAGTGTTTTGGTCCAACGACTTCGAGGTTAATAGTCTCTCAACTTCTGTTAAGTCAGGTGCTTCATTTATAATAAGCCTGATATTCTTCTGGAGCGTTCTAGTACAATGTTCAAGTTTCTTTACCTCGACATATCCGAAATTATTATCATCTGAAGGATCTTTGTCTATTTCATCAATTTTTCTTTTCTTTGAGCTCAGATGAGCATTCCTGACAGGAGTAACAGTTTCGCTTTCAATGGCCGAATTATAATCGTCAGTCTTGGTACTCCTATTTAGAGAGTTTACAAACTCTTCGTAATTCGATCCATTCATTATTGAATCTATTAGCAATATTATGACCACTCTATTTTATAGATATAAATTGTGCTCGGCTCGATGATGTAAAAATATTTTTATACAGACTAGACACACAACGTATTTTGCAGCCACCTTATTTTACATCCAATGAGTAAGAAGGTATACAATGGGTAATTTAAATCGTTAAACATATACTTCAGATTAGTACTATATAATAGCTTTAAAGCCTATTTCTTTTTGTTTTCAGTGCTATAGTTTTGTAGCTATTCTAAAAAATTCCCAAAAATAACAAAAACTTATAATAACTTAAAACTAATTGTAATTCAATAACCGAATACATGACATATATATGAAGAAATAAATAGAAATATACGAATATTTACATATATGCATTGATACTCTTAATATAAAAAATATTGAATCAATCACAACAATGGAAGAAGGTAAAGTCACACCAAACACCACAAAAAATCATTTAGCTGTATTTTCAAGAAACCGCTAGTAAGCCAACCAAGCCATTCTATTTATATACTCCTAGCTTCTGGTACTTGATAACCACAACTAGAACCATACTGGTTCTAGCACAAGCTATAGATTTTTGGTGAAATACACGTGACCAATAAAGATTTAGCGTGTGCTTACCAGACATAATTCGACGGTAGTGAAAAATTCAGTCTACGAATAAGTTTTCACCTTCAGTAGGCCCTTCAATAAGCTAACTATAATGAGACTCCCATTAGCATCCATAAGTGGGTTGAGATGCATACGCCCACAGGGAACCATATTTAACTTTTTTAAGCCATCGATTTTCAGGGTACAACGATCATCGTATAGTACTGAACAATCACCAATCTACTCCCTTGACCGTAACACTGGAAAGCATATATTGACTAGAAAGACATTCTTAGTCGACTACTACAAATACTTGAATGATTCAAATGAAATAGTGTTATATGTTCATCATAATAATCTAATTAAATCTGAAAATAAGAAATTTAGATCAGAACTTAATAAGGCAGGTTCCAAGTTAAACATTATCAGAAACAGTATTTACAACGTTTATTTAAGATCAGAACACGAGAATGATCCAGCGGACTTGGAAACGTCGAAAAGAAATAGAAATGTCGTTCATCCGTTCTCTTCATTATTAAATGGACCCACTGGTATTATCACTATACCAAAATGTGATCCACAAACAGTTACTCAAGTTTTAAAGGTCTTGAAGTCAGCTAATGAAAAGTTGATTTTAATCGGTGCTAGAGTTGAACAGAAGGTATACGATATAGACCAGATTGATAAATTTAAAGACTTACCATCTAAGGAAGACCTTCAAGGCCAATTGGCAGGGTTATTAACAGTTTTGGGTGGTGCCGGCTTGGTAAGAACTTTAGAGGCCTCAAGTAATACCTTGTACTTGACTTTAGAAGAACGTCGTAAAGACATAGATCCAAGTGAAAAGGAAGATAACTAAATCAATATTTAAGGAATTCTACCGATAGCTTGTAATGAATTAAGATTCTATCCATCAGTAGCATTACTGAATCTGTACATACGTATATTTAATATATCAAAATATGTAAATATCTACATATATTCAAAGATATAATCTTGTAGCGATAATGTTTGTAACACAAAATGTTTGACCTGAAAAATTTCAATGCTCATCTCCATAGAGGTTTGAAAACTTACCTATAGATGGTATCTGTCAGATCACGATAATTCTTGAAGACAATGGGTAAAATAGAAGCAAAGAGCAAGGAGGAAAAATTAAGGGTGCAGAAGGAAGCTGAAGCCAGAAGAAGGGCTTACAGAGATTTGAAAAAGGAAGCTAGACAGATGCAAAAAGAAGTCAAGTTTGACACTGACGATAATTCGGAATTACCTAAGAAAAGGTTCTATAGACAGAGAGCACACTCTAACCCATTCTCAGACCATAGATTAGAGTATCCAAGATCCCCTGATACCATGGACTGGAGTAAGTTCTATCCACAATATTATGATCTGGAATCTAAGAAAATGACGTCTGAAGTTGAAATTGCTGATATAGGCTGTGGGTACGGAGGATTATTAATAAACTTAGCTCCCGAATTTCCAGATAAATTATTATTAGGGATGGAAATTAGAGTCCAAGTGACGCAATATGTTGAAGACAGAATAATTGCATTGAGAAATCAATATAGAAATGAATTACAAAACAACTATCAAAATATTTCTGTATTGAGAGGTAATGCCATGAAGTTTTTACCAAACTTCTTTCACAAGGCACAGTTGTCTAAAATGTTTTTCTGTTTCCCAGATCCTCACTTCAAACAACGTAAACATAAGGCTAGAATAATTACAAACACTCTATTAGCAGAGTATGCTTATGTATTAAAAGAGGGTGGTATTATTTATACAATTACAGATGTTGAGGATTTACATAATTGGATGGTAAAACACTTAGAAGAGCATCCAATGTTTGAAAGATTGAGTAAAGAATGGGAAAAGCAGGACAAATGTGTTTCAATTATGTGGAACTCGACTGAGGAAGGCAAAAAAGTCACTCGTAATAAAGGTAGCAAATGGGTTGCATGTTTCAAAAGATTATCAACTCCAGATGATTGTGAGTAGAGTTGTAAACATCCTGATATGTATAATAGTTTTATTTTGTAATTCATGCAGATCGTAGCTTATAGAATTAGATTTTAAAACATAATCTACGTTTAAGTTTATTAAGTCTTATGGATATATTAACACGGAAACAATAATACAATAAGTCTTATAATAAAACGGTAATCCCTTCACAGAGATGAATTAAGTTTTCAAAAAAAAAAAGAACTAATAAATAAAATAGAATAAATAAAATAGCCAGAATTAATAGTTAATTAATTGGATTTGGTACATATATACCATAAACTAAATTATCAATGGATTAAAAAGATTCTGGAATAGTCTTTGTTTCGTCAACAAATTCTTGGGTGCCAGATAAACCTGTGGATGGAACATCTGGGAATTTAGAGGCACCAGTAGAAGCACCAGTAGAAGCAGCTGATGCAGAACCTTCAAAAGAGATATCTCTGTTATCACCAACAGTTGAACCAGCAGTTCTAGTAGGCAAGCAGTTCTTAATCATAGCACCAATTGGTCCAGTCTTTTGAGCTAAAGCTTCCAATTGTGGAGCAGCCTTATCTTGTGCCAATTTGGTGTATTCCGAAGTCTTTTCCTTGGCTAACTTAGAATATTGAGCAATAGCAGCATCAATTTCCTTCTTGTTTCTAACGTAGACAGCTGGAACAGTGAAAGCCAAGACAACAAAAATAGTAATCAAGGTGTATAAAGAAAACAAGGAGGTAATCTTGTACAAGATGTAAGAGATACCTGCAGCCTTCAAGGTGGCTTCAAGGTCATGAGCATAGAGTATCTTTTGAATTTCAGCTTCAAATTTCTCGTTGAACTCAGCAACGTGTGGTAAAATTTCGTCATTGATTTTCTTAGCATAAGTCTTGGTAGCAGGCTTGTATTTAGAGACAAATCCTTCACCAACAACGAATTTACCTACGTATTCAAGAATAGCAGAAACTAGAAGTAATTGTTAGTAACCTGTCATCATACCGAGGAATGAATATACCCAAAATGGCATTTTTACTTATATAGTCAAAATACATACCCAATAATCCAATGTAGGCAACATGGAAGAAAATGTTGAACAAGTTCACTGTTTTAAGAACAAGTAAAGTAAAAATGATGGTACCGAAGACCTTACCAGTCTTCACAGGATCTTTCCAAGTTAACAAGTCACAGTGACAGTCTTTCTTTGCAAGTGGAGCAGTAGCAGTTGGGGCAGTTGAAGTAGACATTGTAATAGTTGAATAAGTTTACAATTGATGAGTTATACCAGTTGAATTAATAGGTGGTGAAAAAACAATTTATAATAACAATGGCGAAGTAGGGATCAATCATTTTTGCTTACAGTGAAAATTTAAGGTATGAAAATGTCACAAGAGGAATCGAGAAACGGGCTCAAAATTTTCATCGAAGACATAGTTTGCTTTTCCAATAGATCTATACATTATTATTGCTTTCTCTATAAATTACGTGGCTGTAAAATGACGGAAATAACCTAATCCTTGGTGACATTCTTCTAGAGCAAGTTTTGTTAGTTGCATGTTGTTGTGGTAAAACTGGATAATATCTGCGTGAGTAGATTTTGCATCTTCGTTTGACAGAGACGGATTGCGCAACTGCTCAAATTCGTGTAGACTCCTTTCGCCTATTTGCTGTCTAAGCCAGTTTAAATATAGCCTGTTAGAGTGATTTTGAAGTAGGCTGATGAACGTGGATAAATACTGGAGTAACTGGGGCAATTTGTCCTTTAGCTGATTCTCAATATTGATGCAAGTTTGGGCTTTGGAGTTCGTTTTCTGGAAGATATTAGGCTTATGCTTGTTCTGTTCGCATTCCTTAATATAGCTGACGTAGGAACTACGTAATTTTCTGTGCATTTGAATTTGGATCTTGACCTCGTCGCAATAGGTGAGGACCAAGGTGATCGCAGAGATTAATTTCGAGTCAAGTTCTTCAACAAGTAACTGGGTCATCAGTAATTGTATTTCCATTTTATCTACATAGCTGGAATAGATGGAATCAATGTAATGGGCCGGACCATCGCGCGGTGTATCGGTTTCTTGAAGGAACTGTTTCCACAATCTTGCGTATTTGGATTGTTGTTGCATGAACTCTATAAGCAGACTGGAGAACAATTCGAAAGTCGTTTGTACGTCCTTGATCTTATTATACTTGTCTCTGAAAGATGTTATGAGGTATACGTACTGCCCTCCACGCTTTGGGGGCAATTTTTCTCTGGGTGCAAACAGAATATTTCTTATAGGTAGCCAATTTCTTCCTTTGGAAGGAGTACTATCTTGAATTGCAACATCAAGTCTTAGGTCATTCTCCATTGGAACACGTCTTTCAAGATTTGCATCATAAATTATATCTTGTCTCTTTTTGTCTAGCATGACTTGCTTACTTTTTTTGTCTATTTCTTCAAAAGAAGAGAGAGATTCTTGTGTATTGCATTCGTCAATAATCAGGTTTATTTTAATTAATGCTAGATTGAGCTCATGTTTTTGAACATCAGAACTAATTGCATTAGAACTATCTATCAATTGCTTTAATAGTAAGGGGTATTTCATTATTCTTTGCATCGGCTGTATCAAAATAGTTTGAAGCGACCAGCTTTTAGTCTTGGACTTCGTTAAAAAATTAGCTTCTTTTAACCACTTGCCTACAGCAGGTCCACCGTAAGTAAGTTTACCATTCAAAATCTTCATTCTGAAATTATGTTTAGCAAAATAGGCTAATATAGTTGGTTTGAAATTTGTTGCCTTAAATAATTTGTGGATACTTGAACCAATATCAAGCTTATGAATGTCGGAATTTATAACTAATTGTCTTATATTGTGGTTGAATATATTATGATCATCTTCATCTAATTCAAATTTTTGTAACGACTTGGCATTGGTGAAACCATTGCACAGTTTTAGGTTATCTATTGTAGACTTAATAAAAGTTTTTGAAATTTCGGTTAACAATATGATATCTTGAAATAGTAACAATTTCTCTTGGCTGGTTAAAATATTCTTATATTCTGCAACATTTGAAAGCAAAGAACTGTAAACCGATTGACATAAATGCAAACTTTTGAAATAATCTATTTCCGTTTCAATGATTTCGATTAATATTTTTTGAAATTGATTGAGCAGGTCAGGCTGACTGAAGAAAGAATTATGAATGGGAGAATCAATCTTCTTTTTCTGAGGTGGAATTGGTACTTGGATGTATGATAACGAATTTAACTCGAGATTTCTTTTATTTGATTTGATTGTTGGATTAGTATTAGTATTATACTGTTCCTTGAAACGTAAAATTGAAGTATCACTTGTATTACTACTTGGAGCTTGACTAGTAACCTTAGGTTTCAACCAGCTGGGACAAAATATATCGTCTTCCAAACCCTCCTGATCAGATTCAAGATCTGAATTAGATATATTAACTACTATTTTCCTAGCTTTATCCTTAGCAATGCGAGTTGGTTTATCATCTTTCATTTTTATCATGATTAATTGACCTAATAATCTACATATTATATTATATCAATTATTTATGTTTCCATAGGCTTATATATATATATATAGACTCTAACGTTTTAATTCTAGACTGATATTTGCAAGTTGTATCAATTGTGTGAGATTTGTTTGAGGTTATTAATTTCGCAGTCAAAATTTTATTCCCGAGGAACGAAGTCGAATTTCAATGTTTCACATATTAATCTGCTTCTAACAAGGTGGTCGGGCCATTTTCCATGACACCCTTACCCAAATAATTAGTGATAATTTTAAAACGGTCAGGTGCTTCATTCAAAGATTGTTCAAATAATTCAATATCGTCTTTTGTTCGTAATTGATCAGCCCTGGCCGAATGTGCCAGTTCAAGATCATTGATACATAAGGGACAGCAACGAGTCGTGACGTCAAGACCATCCAATTCAGCACCAGACGAAATAAATTTATTTTCATCTAAGCAACGTTGATGATATGAATGCTTGCACTTAAAATGGACAATTGGGAAATCTAATTTCATCTTGCAAGAAGAGCATTTGTTATTTTGAATGACAAATGGTTTAGAGGTCAACTCTGTTAATTTATGGGTATTTTTAGTGGATTCTTTTTCGTATGATTGAATTAATTTAACATTATTGGAAATTTCTTGTTTTTGAGTATCAATGTATTCGATTAAGTAGTCTTTTATCAATCCTATAGTTGCGAATTCAGTAGCACTTAGAATTTGTATTACTTCCAAAGGTGTGGCTAGCTTTAAAGATTTTATGCGGCCTAAAATGAACTTGAAATCCTTCGCATCTACTTTATTAAATACCTCTTTTTTTGAAACAATAAACTTCAACATTTGCTTATATAACTCAGGTTTATCTTCCCCATATTTATGCATTATTTCAAAACAACCATCTATTTCGCTAGATGATTGTGACGTTCTAAATAAACTTTCCTCGAATCCTGATTGTTGTTTTGCAGCAATCTCCCCTTCTTTAAAATCGTATATGTGAGATATAAGCAATAATGAAGATTTGTTTAATAAAGAAGAATAATCCTTGACTAATTCTTTTGCTTTGGAAAGCCACGAATTTTTCTCGTTCTCTGACTTGGATAATGAAAGATACATTTCTAGTAAAGTAATTAATAAATCTTTCTTATCGTTGATATTACCTTGATATCTTTCAAATGTTTCAATGCATGCTTCCAAAAATATAACAAACTCGTTTGGATTATTAATATAGGAAGGGAAAATCAAACTAGGTTTAGGCGGTGAATAAGTAGGTTCTGAATGCAAATTAGTTGAAACAGTTGACTCTTCTGAATCCACTTTACCCGAAGAAGAACCTGCTATATAAGCAAGGAATGCCTTGTAACTGTTTAACGGAAATGCCACTTCAGCTTCATTATTATTTGCCATGGTATCCAGGACTCTCTTTGCATTAACTGGTCCATCGGGTTGTTCCTTAGGAACAAATTTCCCAGTAAATACATTAATTAATAATTCAGTAGTTTCAATTGGTAGACTATCTAATAAAGATTTCGAATGGTCAATTAGGATTAACAATAATTCGTCAATAGATAAACTTTTCATGTACTCCAAACATTGTTTTGGCTGATGCATATCATTTAGCAGAATACCTACTATATGGCTTGGCTGGTTTAATTTATGTAACAACTTAATTGCTTGCGTAAAATATCCACATTCTTTAAACAAGTTTATGATAAGCTGAAAGTTGAGCTCTTGTAAGTTTACTTTAGACAGTTCCTTTTTATTAGAGCTATTTTCAGACAAATCAAAGTCTTCAATGAATGTATCAAGATCTGTTATCATTTTCATTTTACAATAGCAGCACAACAATAGAGTGAGATGATCGTTATTAGCAAGTTTCAATTCATATAGTTTATATAAGAACTTGATCAAGCTATTAATGTTGGATACATCTTTAAATTTGGTTATAACAGTCATAATGAAGTCGTCTATATTATCATCACCTTTCTTCCCATCCAATGAATCATTTTTTTCATATAGCGCTAAGCACTTAATATAAGCATCGATCGACTCTTCAAATTCTGACTTATCATACAAATGGCTACCATGTAATAATTGAATTTTAAGAAGCATATCATTAGACAAGTTTGCTTGAGTTGCCAAATCATATGCAATGTTGAACAAAGAACGCTGGAGAATTAACTCTATTTGTTGGTTAATAGGTCTTTCGTGTAATTTGTACAATACTCCATCATTGCTTAACATATAAAGGTCATCCCACATAGTGAAGATATATTCAATAGTATTATTTGGAATGGTAAGACTGAAGAATATATGCTTGTTGTATAAATCTATTATCAAAATTTTAGTGATGGTTTTATTAGTTGCATCCGATGTGCTGCTCTTAGTCTGCTCTTCGATCGGTGAAACAATTAGCAAATAATTCTTTTTGTACTTAAATATGCTTTTCTTTGGTATTTCAAAGGCCAAAGTATCACTTTTGCTTAAATGACTGTAATATCTTATTGAATCCTTCGTACCCACAATCAATTGTTGTGACTTGACATCTATGTCAGAGCAATTCAAATCTACGCCAGTTCTCTTGGAAAGCAACCTATTTGGTTTTCCATGATTTCTCCCCGTAGTTAGTACCGTCAAAATCTTAGAAGTGGTAGTAATGTATAGTATGTCTTCGTATTTATTGAATTGTATACCAGTAATCGGATCATTAGTTTCATAAATTAGTCGTTGTTTAGAGCCCCTATCTCTAATTAAATCTCCTCGGATGAGTAGCACTTTACCGTTCGTATAACCTATCCCCACACAAGTCAAATCATCATTGAATTGGAAACAACTTATGGGAAACGAATTGTCTCCATTATGGATATTCACCTGCGTGTGGTACTTATGCTTTAAGGAATCACCTTCATCGTTACTTTCACCAGAAAGCTGAAGAATTTTGTTCAAGTCCCATAGCTTCAAAATAGATGGCGATCCCTGTCTCTCTGCTAAAGTTACAAGTAGATTGGAACTAGGCAATGATTTCATATACCCTATCCTGTAATCAAGATCATATGCGATAAAGGTTTTTAATAACGTAAACTCTTTAGATATAACTTTTATGAATGAATTCTTAGTAGCAATAACTAGATATGATGCTGTAGAAGTAATAGCTGATAAAGAATGATCAGAATATAATGGATCTTCACTTCCATAATTGGGATCTTTTATTGGCGTAATATCAAATAATTGAAATTGCCTCCATGAAGAGGGTAGTGACATCTTCCAATATGATAATTATGGCTTATTTAGTTTTTTTATCCAAAAGTATGAGTATAAAATAGGAACCAATTGATACTGGAATTTAGAAAATTTGGTGATACTCGCAATCTTTTTGACGTTACACGTTTAAGAGTCCGACTGAATTTTGAAATTTATCACATAAAATGGTAGCATTCTTTTCTGTTTTTCTGTCAAAGTATTACTACATACATCAATGAATTACGACCCGATACACGATACATTTGTTAGTCAATCGACTAAGGAAACATCTGTGACAAATCCAGAGAATGAGAATGATATAAATGCTAAAGGTGCTAGCGTCAATGAAGTCGTTGAATCTCCAACGCGGAAAGCATTTTCTATTGAAAACTTAATGGGGCCTGGAAGCACTCCTTCAAGTATAATAAATACAGAAGAGGGTGAAACGGAAACAGATGCAGAACATGATAATGATCATGATTTTACAGCTGCTAACTCATCAGAAGTGGAAGGTGATCTCTTGCCGAAGGAAAAAGGAGGGAAGAAATCCGGTAAAACAAAGAAGACAAGTGCGTCATCTGTATCAAAGGGATTTCGTCACTTAAAAAAATCAGACGGAGAGCCATTCTGGCGTCGGGATATTCAATACGACTTCCTCCAGGAGTTGTTTGATGATGAAACTAAAGCATTTACTAATTATTTCCCATTTTGTGACATACCATCTGCCAACAACGAATCTAAAATTACGTTTTCAGAGCTTTATATAAGGACGTTAGCCGAATCAGGAAAATGTTCGAAGATATTAAAAGAAAGATTATTGAAAGATGTTGAAATGGGTAAATCTGTTGGTAAGGTATGTTTGTTAGTTAACGCTGGTCGTATGAATACAACAGTGAACTTTGTTCCTGAAATGAGGTCTACGTTGAGAACGTATCATTCAATCCCTTCCTTACAAGCAGACCCGGTTTATGGGGGATCTAAACCTTTGCAAGATACTCCTAGATTAAAATCTATACTAAAAGCAGTAACGGACGTTCATGAAGAATTGAAGTCTTTGGATGATATTCTTGAAAATCCTCCAGCGGATAAACCAAATACAAATCTTGTGCAGTTATTGTTTTTTTTAAGTAATAATGTGAAAGCAATTAAATTCCATCATGATAATTCTAATGAATACACCGACAGTAATAATTTTATGGAATTTTTTTTAAATTCTCATATTCACCCTAAGAATCGTGCTAGAAGATTTCTTTGGCTAGTTTATACCTATTTGGAAACTAGCTTTACTGAAAATGAACTAGAGTTAAATCCATTCAACCCAAAGGAAATCCCACCAATAGAGTTGATACCAGATAATGAAGTTGATGAATTTGATAAAGATACAGATTTTGAAATGGAATATTCTGAAAAGATGTATAAAACAAGACTAAGATATTTGGCTGACGAAGAACATAATAATAATCCTAAACGTGGCAACAAGTCGAAGAAAGAGAAAGAATTTATTGATACTGAAGATAATACTTTTGATGAATCGATAGATACAGCATTGGAACAAACTCCACTACTTTCGGTTAAAAGGCCATTACCAGCAGATGATGCGAAAGCACGTAAGAGGAAAGGTAAGAGAAATCCAGCTATGCATAACACCGTTATTTCTTCACCTTTAACAAAAAACGTGATAACGTCGTCAGCTGAGGTCTCTAATTCTAATGATCTTGAAGGTGAGGAGGTAATAGAAACAAAAGATGAAGCAAACAATAATTCTGGCAATGGAAACTTGAGCAGTAATACTGAAGGGAATGTATCAACCGGGACTTTTGAAGAGGTTCCATTACCAAATAATGAGCATCTTTCGTTTCCTATCGAAGGCCTTTCTTCTATCATCGATTTATATGCTGGTTCAAAAGATATTCCTTTAACGCCCGAAAGCACAGTCTCGATAACAACGCATAATAATATTATAGCAAAATCTAAGCCGGTTATCCGTCAAGTTCGAAATTCCTCTAAAGCTGCGGGTGTTGAATTTTCCAAAAAGACTGATGTGCTAACGGATTGGCTCTACAAATTTTTCCAATATAAGAAGTCTAGTTCCAATGGGCTTTTAGGAATGGAATGGGAATCAATTCGTTACGACTTGGTGCACGGATCCGAAGAATTTATATATCGGGAGTTAGGTAGATATGTCAATTCCCAACAAGATTTACATGAGATGGTAAGCAATGCCAATAGTTCCAGCAATGCAGTTGATGCTAATGGGGATGAATTAGGTTTTGACTATTTACTAATTCACGACTTTAATCATTTCAATGAAAAAAATTCATTTTTGGTTAATTTGATATCCTATTGCCAAAAGTATTTTATTGAACAAGAAACTCAAAATCTTAAAGATAATACGCAAAACAAGAAGCTTATTAAATTTGATTTACTTAAGGAGGAAGTTAACTACGCATATGATATATAGATTAGTTTTTAAAATATATTAAAAGTACATTAAATAATATGATGTTCAAGCCGAGCTTATATGAAAAACATTATTGAACAATATACATACAGCGTTAAAAATACCATACTCTTTCGATAGTCTTAAGAATAGTGAATTAGCACCCTGTATAGTACAAGAAGATTTCAGAACTCTTTCTTCTCTCGTATGTATATCCCTGTCCTTGGTTAAAAATATTTTTGGATCAGATGCACATTCAGCATTCACAGAATTCGTTATTACTATTTCCCACTGAAATTTAATAGTGAAATGATCATTTGAAGTGCCATTCACGGGAATAGTAAATTCAACATTGTCCACCGATTTTAGTATAGAAAGTATTGTAGCATCGTCTTCAATCTCTTGTTCTTTTACTAGATCGCCAACGTAACTCCCGGACTTTATGTACTGACGAAATTTTCTTATTAGCTTGTAGAGGGTTGTCATTCTTTTGTGTATAGCTATAGATAACGAATTCAAGCTGTACATTACTAAATCGACCTTTCCGTTCAGTATGTAATTCTGAACTAGGACTTTAGTAAAGGATGGTGAAAGTAATGAAAAATTTGTCATAATGCCTTCTTTGTCATTGCCATTAGCTATAGCTATGGACATGATAGACTCATCAGATGAATTTATGCTCACTTCAATAGGTAGGCGGAATAAGTATGGTGATATGACTGTGTAACTAATAGTTCTGACAAATGTGCTTTTCTTGTCATCATACAAAGTTGTATTTTGGGCTTCATTGATCTCTAAATATGGATAGAATTTTTTTGCCATATTGAGTCGTTTTATCCAATCGTTGGATGGAAGCACATGTAAGTTATTTAAAATGTATTCGTTATCGTCTTGGTCTGCGGGTGGTTCCACAGTTTTAGGCTTTTGGCTTTCGATGAACCTTTTATCGTTATGCTCTAAAAGTTTGTCAAGGCGATCTTTTTGTCTCTGTTTTTCATTCATATTTTGTAAATACTTGACTTTAACCCGTAGTTCTTCCACAGAACTTTTGAGTGACGTTCGCTTCTTAATCAAATCATTCCTCTCGTTAGACAAATCTAGCTTTATGCTTTGTTGATTTAGCAATTTCTCTAATTCTTCTATTTTATCATCAGGTAGTTCAGATTTGGACAACTGTAGTTGATTGTCTTCATTATCACTATTTATATCTCCAACATCTTGTTTTTGCTTTGGATTATTTGAAGTATACTCGTGGATTTGTTTATGATTATTATCATCTTGGCCGAGTAAGATATTGGGATTTCTGTTTTGCTGACTTTCTACCGACGGTTGGCTTGGAGAAGTATTGAGGAGGTCCGATAATGACGTTATATCAGGTATATTACTCATCTAGCACCCATTAATGTAAATACTTCTGTTGATGTTTACTCTAACTTATCACGCGGTATATAGATTTCGAGACATCTGATAAATAATCGTTAAATATATTCAGTGCATCTCATCTACTAATACTTATATCTATATTAAAGGTTTATAAATATGGTTTCGGTTCCAGAATTAAAAAACGTATGTTGAAGACATGTATTCACCAACTCCCAGAAGCAAATAAATTACTAACTAATAGTATATGGATAAAAAGTTATCGATTCAGCTAAATGGATCAAGGAAGGTAACTGGAACATTAAGAGGATATGACGTATGTATTTACAATTGAACAAGCTGTATTCAAGTAGTGGTACTAACGAAGAAGGTATTTTTAAACATAACTTTAGATGAAGCGTTGGAAGAACAGAAGAATGGAGATAAATTAAATATTGGAACCATTGTAAGTAGCTTTTAATCGAGCACTGTGATAACCCAGTGGTAAGGATCCAAAGTGGATACTAACAAATATAGGTCATAAGAGGAAATTCGATCGTTTCTATGGAAGTAAGTATACGAAATATTTTGAAGTATAAAAGTACATACTAACAATTATTACAGGCATTGGAAAAGGTATAAAATAATTTTAGTTCTAGTTTATTTATAATATAGCTAATACGGGTGAACGATATATTTGGCAACGCTTTATGTCCAATACCGCTTTTGTATAAAAGTTTAATATATTAGACATCATATTGTAATCAACAGATCGTGTACCAATTTATGGAAACCTTTTAACCATTTCTACACCATCGTTCTTGTATCCACACTTTTCATAGAATTTAACATTATGAGGAGAACAATCCAAAATAATCTTATAGCACCCTTTGTGCTTCGCCACTTCAGTCAATCCGCTAATCATAGAAAATCCCAACTTCTTCCCTTGTTCTGATTTGGCCACGGCAATATCTTCAATATGACCTGCCGATCCACATTGATGAATCACCTTTCTTTCTATAAACAACATTCCTGTAGCAACCACCGTGCCATTATTATTGGTTATTACATGTGGTTGATATATCTCAGGTAACGACTGCCAGTTGCTGAAAACATCCGCAAACATATCTGGTGATATTTCTCCAACAGTAGTTAAAACCTTTAATGTTTCTAAATAATCGTTTGAATAGTCATTTTGTTGTAATTTTCTAAACGAATATCCTTCTGGTAATTGCATCGTATTAAAACTCAATATGGTTATAATATGTCTTGTGTCTTAAGCGGTTGATATATTTGTGAAAACTAAACCAAGTGCCGTTAATCAGTTTTGAGAAACTACTAAGATCAATTAAGTACAAATTTGGCATATTAGTTATTCAACATCAATTTCGAAAAACACATAAGAAGTGAAATACAATGGATTTCAAAACAGATCAATTGAATTACAAGGCTGTTACTTATAGTAGTAACGCTGAGCCCATGACTATTACAGAACAATCCATCACATTGGTCAAACAAACAGATGGAAGCTACAATTTGCCACCTAACAAGATTTTGGTGAAGGTACATTCAGCAGCTTTGAATCCGGTAGATTTGATCTTGTACAAATCTGCGTCTAAGGTCCTTTCGTACTATAATAGTCAACAAGGGATTGGTAGGGACTATTCAGGAACTATTGTAGCAATTGGTGATGTTGCGGCTAAAAAGACCGACTTTAGTGTGGGGGACAATATATGTGGGTTGTACAGACATCTTCTTGGTAAGGGTACTGTTTCGGAGTATATCTTGCTAGATGGCACGTCTGTAAAAGATTCTGCAGTTGTCCCAGTGCCTAGGAATGTTTCTATGAATGAAGCAGCAGCATGGCCATTAGTGTTAGGTACAGCATTGGCAATGCTCCAGGGCAGAATCGAAGTTGGCTCGAATGCAAAGGTGTTAGTTTTGGGTGGATCTACTGCTGTTGGTAGATTTTGCATTCAATTATGCAGAAACC